TCATGAAATGAACAAATCTGAGAGAGGTCTACCCAAGGTACATATACACCAAGTATCAAAGCATTCAGGCTTGTAGTTTTCAAGAAGAAGTCGAAAAAGTAAAACATTGACACGGACGACGACGACGGACAATCACTCATATGATAAGCTCCGCTCGACAAAGTCGACAGCGGAGCTAAAAATGATTACAAAATATGTTGTCTTTATCATTGAGTGAAGCAGTGGTTTCTATATTAATTTGAAATTTTTTTTTACTTCCATGTAAACACAATGCAATATTCAAGAAGTAAAACCTTCCACTACTACACTAGACTGGTGCAGTCGGGGCGATTAATTTGTTTTTGTAGTTTAAATAAAATAAAAATAATTTGCGAAATGGAGGTATGATCCCCTGTAACTGCGAAATCACCCCGACTGGTTTATTCTGCATGGCCCTCTATCGACACTGTAATTTTACGACTAGAAACTACATTAAAACCTACGTTTTACAGTTTCTATGCTACATTCTAAGTCTGTTTACGACTGCTACGACAAACTTGAATTTCAACGTGCCGCCTTGTTGGGTCTGCAGTGTGACCTTTACCATATTGACCTCATTATGCACGTATTTCCGCGCCCACCTCATTATGATATGTGCATCATGAATATTTAATTGATTTTGTGCTAACATCTCTGTTTTGCGATTTTTTTAATTTTATTTAAACTACACAAATTATCGCCCCGACTGCGCCAGTCTAACCTTCCTCATATTCTAGCTGATTTCTAGAGGGCGCTATAACATTGACTAATTTATAAATAAAAGGCAGTTAAGGCACTTTTGGGTTCTGTTGGGGTGAAGTATCAAAACAGAGACTTGTGCATTCATTTCACAATCCAATTCAAAATGGCTAAATTCTATGGTAGCCATTTTAAAGCCTAATACATGTCTTATTCCGAAACAGGTTCTTGGTCAATATTAGGAAATGAAAGAACCTGAGAGAGGAGATAATTTCTTTACATATACAATGTACTCAATTCAGTCTCTCTATAGACACTGCTCTATATCAGCCTTTTACATATATTTCCTGTTCATCCAACAACTTGAAATAGCCCATGCTTAAATAATGTCCTTCCCCAAACATAAAATGGTTTATACACAACTTGCTACAATAGAGAGTGCACAGTGTCTGTGATAACCCACAATCCTACCAATGTATTGAATGGTAAAAGTCACCAGTACACAGAACAGAACTTTTTTTTTTCAAATTACTGAATAGTTTGATGTTTTTATATCGGTACTAAGAGTAATAGGGTCCAAAATAGTAAGCCAATGAAGTTTTAGAAAAATCAATGTCCAATAATACAAATAAAGAATTATGGGTAATTAGTAGTACCTTGGAGTGATAGGTACCAAGGTAGCCTGGAATCCAGCCATTCAGAGTCCCATTCCAGTGCACTCAAGAATGGCTTGGTGTATCGCTACGTAAATACATAAACGACGTAGAATTCTGCATCATCACTGATTGGCCGACTCCGTGAATTCAGTACATTACCTTGAGAACTCGCATACGCAGAAAGACAGATTCACTAGTCTATTATTCATAGTAATAATAATAGACGGCGTCTAGTACCCATGGTTACATAGTAATAAATACAACTAAATAGCGAGTCTGACATCTTCCGAACTTTACATAAGTTCATTTTGTGATGACAAAACCTAGACACTCAATGTTACAATAACAAAAGCAACAAATATTTGTGTTTTGTATTTTTTATTGTAATAAAAACACTTTGATACTAATATATACACTATACATATATATGGTTATAACGTAAAGAAGTTAAAATTGTTTTTAATTTTTCTAGTAAAATACAAATTGAAGATAAAACTCACAGGAAGAGATAGAATTCATTCATAAAAGGATTTCCACTATTTTCAGACAATTTACGCATGATTTACATAGAGACAACACTTAAAAAGTATCAGCAATACAACAACGGCAAGTTTTCACAGTAATCAAAAGTCTTTGATTCGTTTAATACCCCCCCGGTAGCCCTATTTTTCAGATATGGTTAAAGGCTGGTGGGTGGCGTGACGAGACAAGTACAGATATGGGTTCCATGCAACATGGGTGAAATACATTGACATGAAGTTTAAACGTGCTGTGAACCATGTGATGACCTTCGACCTTAACCTTTCACCACCAGTTCTCTCTTTATCACAAACTCACAAAATAGTCCTGCTTATAGTCTGCACTTTCCTTCAGAAAATTGGGACAAAGATAGCCAAAGTTTTTGAGTAAAAAGTGAGAATTGACTCAAATGTTGTCTGTTGCCTCTAAAATTTGGGTTCATTTCTTGAAATATTGAAGAATATAAGAAAAAAAATGCAGTCAAATTTAGGTGAGAAAGTCTGGTGGTGAGAAGGTTAGGCCACTTTATTTTGTGAGCCAAATTTATTCCAATTTCTTGAGTCAAGGCAAACATTTTTGTGTTCTTCAGGCAAAGATTGGTTACTTTTTGTGAAGATTTGTACTGTAAAATCTGTGTCCAGAGCTTCTATTTAAATGATATGACAGAGGGGATGCAGCTTCTAATAAAGCAACTGCGCAAATGAGAAATTTTTGGGTCTTAATTGTTAAAAAATAATGAAAGGGGTTTCCATTAGGAATGAAGCTTCCAATACAGATTATACAGTAGTCATCTTGGAAGGTTTTGAATTGAAAAAAAATGTATAAACTGTTTTGTTTGCAGTACATTTACTTGCTATTACAGGTCCTGGTAGGTTAATATAGATATAGTTTTAATAAACTTGAAAACCTTGGCAGTTGTTGACAATAATTATATAATTTGATTCCAACTGATGTGACATTTGTACAG